AATCACGAAGATTGTACATCTCACGGAGAATACATTAAGATTATTGGTAGTTTAATTGTATCTAATGGATTGTACTAGGCCGAACATTGCCTTAGCGGTTAACGAACTCGGTAGACATACGAGTAACCCTAGTGTTGCGCACTAGAAGACAATAGAAGTTATGAGATACTTAAGGTATGCTCGTGACTTTGGACTGCACAACGTGGGATATCTAGCTGTACTTGGAAAGTATAGCACGGATATCAAAGGACGCTAAGTCCATCAAAGGCTACGTCTTTACGTAGGCCAGTGCAGTCGGTTGGACGGAAATTCTCGAAATGAATTTGTGATAGCTAAGATCCGACGGGATCAAAGCTGAGAGCCTTACACTCGTGTCGCGAGCGAGTAGGCCGAATGGCTATGCCATTAATTCGAGAAAGTTCTTGTTGGTAAACTCGTACCTCCAATTTGTGCGTATTGCAATAGTCAAACCAAAATTGGTTAAGTACAGAGTTAGATGTGGAATGGTAATTCTAGACTTATAAGTCGAAGACGTAATACCATTAAACAAGTTCTCACAACGACGGTTATCTCTATTGACTACGTGATGTCAAAAGATAACGTAGCGGCCGCTAACTCGCTAACCCGAGGGTAAGCAAATGGTTGTTGAGAAGTTGGAACGAGGAATGGGTCTAAAGCCCTTGGACTAAAAAGTTCTATAGTGGATACCCAACTTAGCTGGCACCTAGGTTCAATGGGACAACTAAATTATGGAACGAAGCGTGTCACTGTGGGGGTCTCGGACTCCCTACCTCTCCTCGTTAGAACAGTGACTCCCGCACGAGGTTAGTATGATAATGCTTTAATGATTCGAGCGTTGGTTGACATGTGTGAGTATGCGAGATACTCGGAAAAGAATCACCTATGTGAGAGAGAAGTGAGGGTCGCTTCAAAGGATAATTGATGGGCACAATTCTTCACAAACTCTTGCAGAACCAGGACGGTGACCCACGACCAAAATGGGCACACTCATGAGAACAGAGCATGGTTGGGAGGTTCCTGTGTGAGATATGTCATCGTATACACAAACGACAGTCGGTTCAAAGACATCGCGTTCTACCATACAGCCAATAGAGTAAACATATCTTTACAAGGGAAGGTTCAAAGGGTATAGTGATCCCTACCTATCCTATGCAGGGATCGACCGTTGAACACAGTTTGTTTCCGATTTTAAAAATACCCTGAAAATCAATTTTTCATTCATGTGGGGGATTGTTGGAAAAAAAAAAGAAGCTTAAAACGGCATATTAAGTGGTTATTTTGTGGTACAATTATCAGTGGGGTCCACTTCCGATTTGGGTCGGGTCAAAGTGGATTCGGGTTCTTCGTAGTGAGACGAAGATATTGATATATTGTACGCTCAAAACGGATAATGGGTGAATGAGATATTGATTCTCAAAGTAGACCCATTTGAGTTGGAAAATGAAGGGAAAGAGTGAGCTTTTGTCCCACATTGGTTTGGGAAGAGGATTTGCCCCACTATTTATACATGAGCTCTTTTTAAACTTATTAAATTGTATAGCATAAAGTCTCTCTCTCGCGCACAGGGGGGAGGGGGTGCAAATCCAATCCCAAGCCTAATCTCGTTTGCGCCAGCACATACGGGCACGAATATCGTCGCCTTGCGGGCTAAGTTATGCCATTTCGGGATCTCATTTTCCAATTCAGGAAGCCACAAAATGAAATGCCTCGTGTGCCACCTTGGTGGTCACCACGAAAGTGAAACAATTGCAATTGTTTCGTGGGCAAATTATTGCCTGGACCATGGTCCACCCAACTTGGATTGACCATGGTCCAAAACGACGTCGTTTTACCCTTTAAAAAAAAATCGCTACTTGGATTTTAACGGCGTCATTCTGTCGTTATTCACTCTCTTTTTCTACGGTCGCGAATTTCTTCTCTCCCTTTCTCTATGCGAATTTTTTCTTCGCGATTTGTCTTCGTGAATTGTTGTTCTCCGTGATTTCATTCTCTCTGCGATCAATTGCTCATCTCTTCGCAATTTGGCATGGTCCACACAGCTTCTCGCTTCTCTATCAACATAATGGATGCTATGAATTCAAATTCGAGAATGAATTACAGGTCTTTACATGCGATTTAGGTGATGTGAATGCTTTGGTTGTTGTTGAATTGATCTTTGCAATTGATGTTGATCATAGACATGCAATTCTATGTTTTTCGTGTTACGATAAAGTATTTGCATGTTCTACTGTGAATATTGGAATTCTGATTAAGGTGCATTATTTATATACATTAGGTACATTATTTTAATTCATAGGGTACATTATTTTAATACATAAGATACATTATTTCCCCATGTTAACTTTTTGGAGGCTTTTATGTGAATTTTGAGTTCTTCGTCTATAAAAAAAATCTGTATTGAAACTGAGCTTCAAACAGTAATATTCTTTAGAAACGTCAAACCCAAGAAATCTTATGTATTGCAGAGGTTTTGTTTTTTCATACTTAAATACAAATCTTGTTTGTGCCACTCTTATGGGAACTAAAGGTCTTTTGTTCCACCTTCTGAATTGTAATGATTCAATGTCAATGATGAAAACCTTTGATCATACATTGCTTTTCTTGGCCTTAGTTTCATAAGCATTGGAAACGAGAATAATTTCATTAATTTCTTTATAGGTTCCACTCTTATTAGGCTATTAAACCATGTGCTATATTGATATTTGTCACTAAGAAATCAATAAAATTCTTAGTTTGCATGATCTGCATTTTATCTTGAGGTGAAATGTAACAAGTGAATTTCTGAGTAATGACTTTCCATAACCTGATTACCAACAAGTTTCCAGTTCTTTTAACTCTCTATAAACACAATATGCATGGTCATTTTAATTTACTTTTTTTCCCTCACCTGCAAATTCAACACAATATGCATTTGAGCTTTTTATATGTAGAAGCTAAGATGAATACAAATTAATTTTCCAACTAACTCAGTCTTTCTGCTAAGCTATGATCTGATATAGTATGTAGATCATTCATTACATTTCAAGCTAATATTGTATTTCTGATTGAGGTACATTATTTTAATACATAAGATACATTATTTTAATGCATCATTTATGTGTACATTCTGTTGTACATATTGTGTTTCTGACTGAGGTACATTATTTATATGCATTAGGAACATTATTTTAATCCATATGTTACATTATTTTAATGCATCATTTATGTATACTTTCTATTGTGTATTCAGATCATTCTTTTAGTGGATATCTTATTTCTTTGTAGAGCATGACTGGATTTATTAGGTGCACCACAGCCCCCTCTACTTAGAAATCTGATATTCACTAAAAATAATATTGAAGCTGGTAGAAGAAAGATTGAAGGTGAGGTTGGTCCTATTTGCTTTGATGACTTTGAAAGATCCTTGGAAAGTGGTGGTATACAAAGTCCTTTACGAAGTGGTGCGAAAGGCGACCGTAATCCAGGGCTAATTAGTACAGTACAAAAAAGGTATAACCAAGCAAGAAGTCAGAAGAATCATGTAAAGACGGTTAAATTTAACACAAAGGCTATAGTCCAATTTCTGTGCAGTAAATTGTTTATGATATCGTTGGTAGTGGGTATCTAATTCATCCTAGTGGCAATATTAGTTATAATTGGTTTGTTTTACGTCTAACTCAAAACAAGTCAAATGATAATTAGAAGAAGTTGCACTAATTTTGTTTACTTATATATGCACTTGACATATTATGAACTTGTTTTTTGCTTTGTGGGTTATTACAAAAAGTATTTGCACTTGACCGATTATGAACATATTTTTTTTTTGTTTTATGCATTAATAAAATGTTCCATTGTTAAGGTCACATGTATTCATGAGCTGACCATCACTTGATTTCGTAATGTACTCAGTGGGTTAGAATAATGTACCTTATGCTCTAAAATAATGTATCCTATGAGTTAACAAAATGTATCCTTATTATGGTCACATGTGTTTATGAATTTCCATCACTTGATTTGGTAGTGTACTCTGTGGGTTAAAATAATGTACCTTATGCTCTAAAATAATGTACCCTATGAGTTAATAAAATGGATGCTTCCTAAGGTCACATGTGTTCATAAATCGACTATCACTTGATTTTGGTAATGTACTCTTGGATTAGAATAATGTACTTTATACTTTAAAATAATGTACCCTATGCGTTATCAAAATGTATCTTAGTTAAGGTCACATGTTCATGAATTGACCATCATCCCCATCCCCGAAACACCAACCTCGTCCCCATCCCCGCGGTGAATAAGGGGAGGGGTTTTCCATTCTTTGTCTCCATTTCAAAAAAATTTCCCCATCCTCGTCCTCATTGGGGATACGGCATCCCATACAATTACTTGATTTGGTAATGTACTATGTAGGTTAGAATAATGTACCTTATGCTCTAAAATAATGTACCCTATGAGTTAATAAATGTATTCTTGTTAATTTCACATGTATTCATGAACGGCCCGACACTTGATTTGGTAATATAATTTGTGGGTTATAATAATGTACCTTATGCTATAACAATGTACAGTAGGGATAATATTTATGAAATAATGTAATTTGAATATTATAACATAAACTTTTTATAACAAAATAAAATATTTACAAAATATGTTAAGACATATCAATATCAACTGTTTTTCCTAATAGTCAATTACCACTATCAAATTGACACAAAACTGTCAATTACCACCATCAAGTTTTCCTTCCAATCATTCAATTCTGTATTTGTTTACTTATGATGCAGATAGATAATATACTATATACACCTAATCTTTATGCACACAAATAATGTACTTTATGAACAAAAATTATGTACCCTATGAACAAAAATTATGTACTTTGTGCACACGTAGAACCACTGTTGCAAATTTTGGAGTATTTGAGTTGTTAGGAATTGTTAGATCATCCCTATAACCTTCTTATTGTCCAATCACAACCTCTTCATCTTTAATTGGAACCACGACTGAAGAACCTGAATTCCAAATTAAATGAATCAAATGAAATTGAAAATCTTGTTAATCATAAGCCAAACATGGCAACAAAGAAAACACAATCAGATACTTATGTATATATAACACAAAAAGTATACATACATATATACATAAGGTCATTCTTCAACATGCTTCTGTGGAATAACATATATACATATTACAATACTAAAAGCATATCCAGAGCAAACCTTCACTTTCTCGTCCCGGATGTGCTAAGGCTTTAGAGAAACGAGTAATAATCCCTAAATTTCTGCTTGAATAATTTACTAATAACCTGCTCTAAAACAACATATAAGCAATGAACAATATTTTTAAATTTCTGCACAACAAAATGTACAGATAAATCATGCATAAACATAATGTACCATGTGGATTAAAATAATGTACCTAATGCACAGAAATAATGTACCTTAATCAGAAACACAACTTTTAAATCAGAATGCACACAGAAATCATACATTAAAATAGTGTAGCCTATGTATTAAAATAATGTACCTACCGAACATAAAGAATGTACCACAATCAGAAACACAATATTCACATCAGAAAGTACACATAAATCATGCATTAAAATAATGTACCCTATGGATTAAAATAATGTACCTAATGCATATAAATAATGTACCTACTAAACAGAAATAATGTACCCTTATCCAACCAATTAAACAAACCATAGACACAATAGATCAAAGTATTGCAAAAGACAAACCTGGAATTGATTCAACATCAATCAAAGCATTGACATCTCCTACAATATATATATATATATATATATATATATATATATATATATATATAAACACAATATAGATCAAAATAGTGTATAGTTGAAAATATACTTTATCAGTGTTGTTTGAATTCCTAATCGCAATGTATGTTTAAAATGAGATGTTTACCGGCTCAACTTTGCTAGATTACACCATTAGTACACTATAATATAGCAACATAATTTCGTATATCATCCCTATGATGGAAATTTAAATTTTTGCTTATTTGGCAACAAATTGGTTGCGGATGTGATGACCTTCGAAGATTAAGATGAGACCATCAAAATTAACAAGACAAGTGCAGAAAGTTTCCAGTGACGAATAGACAAGCATCCCTTTATGACATATCAACAAAATTTGAGGAAAAGAATTTTCAATAGGAAATAGAAGAATGCAAGAGAAATATTAGAAGATTAGGATGTGACCATCAAAATTAATGCAGAAAGCTTCCAGTGAGGAATACACAAGCACCTGACCAATCAATTATATCTATCTGCTCCATCATATGACATATCACAAATTATATTCTCTATTTGATTATATTAATCAATAAATGATTAAGTATGGATCTTTTCTTGCTGCACAATCCGAATAATTCAACATATATTATATTTTTTAAAAAATGAAGAGAAAATCATCAAAACTAACTTACATAATCCCCTTTCATGCATCCAATCATCAATCAAGCATTTGGGCATTTAATCAACTAGAAAATAATAATAAAAAAAATAAAAAATAAAAAAAAAATAAAAAACTGAATCACAGTTCAGTTGGTCTAAGAATGACGTTAACGCTTTACATATTGAATGAGAAACATAATCCATGTAGTCCATCCCAATAGAAAATCAAACATGATGATCCTACTATTATGCATTAAAATAATGTACCTTATGTATTAAAATAATGTACCTAATGCACATAAATAATGTACCTGAATCAGAAACACAATATTCATATCAGAATGTAGAAAATAATTTTCAATCACTTTGAATATAATGAAATATTGAACCCTATTAACAGAAATAATCTATCTTATGCATAGTGTAAACTCAAACGAGTAAGAACCCTAGGTAGTCAAACGAGTAACAATCCCTAAATATCTGCTTGAACAATATTTTAAATAATTTTTAAAACCCCAGATAGTTGAAAATATACATTATTAGTGTTGTTTGACTTCCTAATCGTAATGTATGTTTAGAATGAGATGTTTACCTTCAAGAAGCTCCTGTATTGTGCAGCAATGAAGTCTGACCGTCGTCTTCCTCTGTGTTTACAACAACGGAGATAGGTGTTCGGAGAGGAGAAGATAGCGTCCGAGAGGTGAGAGAAGCAAATTTTATATTTAAAAAAATAAAAAATAAAGATGCGCGACGTTCGTCGCGCATCTAACGGCGTCGTCTCTCCTTAAGTGGAGAGACGGCGCGTTTTGGGCCATGGTCCACCCAACTTGGCTAGACCATGGTCCACCCAACTTGGCTAGACCATGGTCCAGGCAATAACAATTGTGTTTCGTGTAGCACCCTGGCCGAAATCGAAAGTAGTGGTTTCGGCCATTTCAGCCTGATGGCCGAAACTACTACTTAGGCCGAAAGTTCGGCCTAAAACTCTTGTTTGTGACTGTTGGGATTTAATTCAGCTGTTATGGGATTAATTCCGATTTTAATTTTTGAATTAACACCCATGTTAATGGTTGCCGTTACAGGAGTTGTAGGGGTGTCCCTAAATGCCATAATAAAGTCTATTCACTCCACAATCCTTATATAAGAAGGAGTTGAGCAGTAGCTTTTGGAATACACAAGAAAAATAATTTTTTCAAGCCTCAAAATACTTCTGCTTCTACTCCATTCTTGAAGCTGTGTTTTGCTCGTGCTCTTGTTCGCCGGGTTCGTTCGTTTGGATGCTCAAACGTCAAACCATTGTACATTTTATCCTGGTAGACCTAGGCCACAACGCTCCTAGCACTTTTGGGAGGTGGCAAATAAGGTTTTAAGGAAAGAAAGGCACTCGCCTAACTCGTACAATTATTTCTTCCTTCTCTTTCTTTCTTGTTTTAGATTATGCTCTAAGTAAAAATCCGTTCTTTCTTGTTGTTTTGGAATTATAATCTAAGAATTATAATTTCTTTTTGGTTGATATATATTGGTATATTTTTTCATAGATATACATGTATATATAACCGTTGGGTTCGTTTTATATATATATTTCGGATATATATCCAATAATATTTTATATATATTTCGTGTGTATATATATAAATATTATTTTAAGGATATTAAATCAATTGTGGTTCATTATCACCAACAATAAATTCCTTGAGCACTTCAAGAAACTCCACATCAACCTCCCTTTTGGTTAGACGTTGGCACAAAAGCCTAAGTATGTTAAATCCTTGAAAGATTAGCTAACCAACAAAAGAAAGCTTGAGGAACTGTCTCTAGTGACATTGAATGAGGAATGCTCTAAAATTCTACTCAATAAGATTCCAAAGAGACTGAAAGACCCAGGGAGTTTCACTTTACTTATTGGTGACTTGCATGCGGAAAGGGTTTTCGTTGATTTGGGTGCTAGTATTAATCTGGGAGTTAATTCCAACGGAGGTCCCTTGTCTTTGGTGACAATTCTAAATTTAGTCACATATTATCGTTTTTACCATTTAACACCCCAAACTATCATATTTTGGACACTTTTCGTCCTTCCGATGAATTTTCCAGCGAAACTTTATTTTAGGCAAAGGTATTTTCGTCTATTAAATTTTTTATTTATTTTCCCAATGAGTTAATTCAAGCGGAGATCACTTATCTTTGGTGTCATTTCTAAATTTAGTCCCAAACAATCGTCTTTACGCTTTAACACCCCGAACTATCATATATTGGACACTTTTGGTCCTTCTGATGACTTTTTTCTAGTGAAACCTTATTTTTGAAAAGGATATTTTCCGATGACAAAGAAGACACTTCTTTCTTTTTTCCTTTTTTTTTTTTACTCTACAACTATAGTAGATGATTCACAGAATCATGGACTAAAACAATAACGGTTAGACTGAAGCCAACCGGGTGGCGACATCCTGAGCTTTCCAACTGTATTGTAAAATGATTCTCCCACACCCGTAGGTCCTCATGTACTCGGTATCTCTATTGATGAAGGAAGATTTTGGGCCGAGCCGAAGGAGATGAAGACAAAAGCCGGGTGAAGGAGATGAAGACAATCCACGACTGAAGAGACGAAAAGCAAGAAAAAAACTGGCGCACAAAACCAGAAAATAAAAAAAATGAAAAAACAAAAATGCTCTTGCCTAAATTAGGGGTTGACCAGAAAAAGTCACCGTAAGGATCAAAACTGTCTAAAATATGATAATTTGGGTTGTTAAATGACAAAAATGATTGTCTATGACTAAAATTGGCATTACAACCAAAAATGATTGTCTATGACTAAAATATGCATAAAGATACTATGACCCCTTTGATTTTAGGAAAATCCTTTTTGGCCACTGTGAGAGCCAATATAGACATTAGTGATGGTAAATTAACTCTCAAGATTGTGAATGATGATGGCATTTTGATGTTTATTTTACTATACTTTTCTTTCAACTCTCATATATACTAAATACGAGAATTGAAATTCTCAATAATTCTATCCATGCAAACTATACATTGTAATTGAAAATAAGTGGCTTACAATGTTGGCCACCACTATAGCACAAATTGTGGGCGCGTGCTTAGGTGAGGATGTGCTGCTCAAACAATTTTGTTTTTGTTTTTGTTTTTTTTTTTTTTTAATCACAATATCTAGATATAGTAGCATATTTGGGCATTGTGCACAATGAATATTTTCTTCTACATAGTTCAATATAGGAACATTGTATGGTTGGGATGACACATTGTAAGGTATGGCTCTAATAGAAAAGTAGATATAATCTTAACAATAAGCCAATAAGGCGATGTAAGTTGAGTTGTTAGCTAATATAAGAATTTAAGACACACTTCAATACTACATTACAAAATACTACTCCACATAGCAGACTAAACAGTTAAAACATGTATCTCTTCTTCTCAAAAAAAAAAAAAAAAAACATGCATCTCTCAATGGCACCACGTGAGTGAGAAGAAGCTCAATAATTAGAAGCTTAGGAAGTTACTTTTCTTTTAAACTTTCAATAGTATCTTAAGGCTCACATCAAAAGAAGTGAAGTTGATGCCCAAACTTTTTGCCTTTTCCTGGGATACTTGGTAGGTTGCTACTGGCAAGTCATCTTTATATCTGTGATTAGAAAATAAATTTTTTAAAAGGTATATTTCCATAATTATTTCTTTTTTTTTTTTCTAAGAACATTTACATAATTAACAATAATGTCTTTAGCTGAAAATCTTACTTGTCAGGAATAGGAAGAAAAGGGAAGAGCCGGCTTGCAATGTTCAAAATTTGGAAAGAGTGGATTGTTATCCCAACCAAACAGTATCTTCCACTAGCAGAAGGTAACTCAAATGCTTGGATATGTGCATTTGCGACATCTCTAACATCAACAAAAGGATAGATTCCAGTAGGCATTGCTTCCTTACCTATGTGACATAACATTCATCAATTTTATAATAGTGGAAAAATTTCATCAAAATTTTAACAACTATTAATTTAATTTAACTCATCTTTTGATGAAATATATATTACCTTCTTTTACGAGATCTAGAATGACTTCGCTCGATGAATTAAGAGTGGGTTGCAGAAGAGGGCCAATAACAAAAGCGCGATGTAAAGAAACCAAGTCAATCCCATTCTCAACTGCATACTTCCATCTAGCTTCCTCTGCAAGGACTTTAGACAACACATACCATTTCTATAAAGGAAAAAAAAAAGTCACATAAATTAGAACAAATTAAGGTGTTTTGCTTATAATCAGGTTGTGTGGATCTCTTATCAACTATATGCATTACCTTTGTTTCTTCTGCAAATTCTTTATCTGCATACCAAGTCTCATCAACTACATCAGTTGGACTTTTAGTATTTTGTTTGTACATAACAGAAGCTGTTGAGGACGTTACCACTACCCTTTTCACAGAAGGTGTTCTCACACATGATCCAAGAACATTTAGTGTCCCCTTTACTGCAGGATCCACTAGTCCTACCTAAAATGTATTTGATTTACAAATAAAAAATAAAAAAGGGGGGGGGGGGGGGGGGGGGGGTGGGTATTAACATAAGAAAAAAAAGGGGGGTTGACCTTAGTTGCTGATTGTGATAAATCTACAGGTTATGCTGTGTCAAAACACCTTCACATCCATTAATTGCATCATCAAATGAGTTCTCCTCAAGTAAGTCAGCTTCAAACAAATTCAATCTTTCCTTCGCGCCATCTAATGCAAGAAGATGTGACACCTTACTTGGATCCTCTACAATAATTTAATATATACAAAACCATTTATGATTAGATATATCAATTAGACGATGAGAAGGGAAATTCAAAATTCAATTACTGAAGATATAAGTTACAATGGAATAGATAGCGTATTCTACTCCTATCACAGACTAGCACCACAAAAAATAACAATCTTATTACAATAGAAATAATATAAGAATATGTAACATTATTAACACACCCCCTCAAGCTCAAGGTGGGTGCGAGACAACATTGAGCTTGCCTCGGAGAGCAGTGAAGCGAGGTCCCGGTAGTGGTTTGGTGAGGATATCTGCCAGTTGATCTTTAGTGGACACAAAATTAACGATAAACTCCCTGGAGGCGACTTTGTCACGTACAAAGTGATAGTCGATCTCAACATGCTTCGTCCTAGCGTGGAAGACGTACGGGGTTTGCGCAGAGGTATGTGGCCCCTAGATTGTCACACCATAGAGTGGATGGTTGGCCAGAGTGTAACCCAAGCTCACGAAGAAGAGACACTACCCAAGTAACCTCAGCAGCAACATCAGCTAAGGCTTTGTATTCAGCTTCAGTGGACGAACGAGCTACAGTGTGCTGCTTCCGTGAGAGCCAAGAGATGAGGTTATTGCCCAAGAAAACAGCATATTCACTAGTGCTCTTCCTATCTACCGGGCAGCCGGCCCAGTCGGAATCTGAGAAGGCATGATAGTCGTGGATGCAGAAGACGAGATACACAGCCCATAATCCAAAGTCCCTTTGACATACCGCAGAACCCGCTTAACAAGCACCCAATGTTCGTCCGTAGGAGAGTGCATGAACTGACAAAGGCGATTGACGGCATAAGACAGGTCAGGGCGAGTGATGGTGAGATACTGTAAAGCCCCAACGATGCGCCGATACTGAGTCGGGTTTTCATGCGGTTGAGATGAAGGACTAACAGCTTGAGACACAGCAGCTGGGGTTGTAAGGGGTTTACAATCTGTCATCCCAGCACGGTTGAGAATATCACCCATGTACCGTCTTTGTGATAAAAGAAGACCCCCCGTCTACTCGCAGTGTTTCTATACCAAGAAAAAAACTTGGTGTTCCGAGATCCAGGATCTTGAATGCCACAGAAAGACGTTTGAGCATGACGTCAAGAAGCGCCGAATCATTGCCCATAATAATAATATCATCGACGTAGACGAGGAAGAAGACCCGTGATTCTCCTGATGTGTAGTGGAATAGAGAGACGTCGGTTTTGGATGGTGAAAAACCTACAGAAACCAAGAAATCATGTAGTCTCTTAAACCAAGCTTGTGGGGCTTGTTTGAGACCATATAGAGAGCGCTGAAGATGACACACATAGTCCGGATGTGTGGGGTCCTCATACCCCGGTGGCTGTTTCATGTACACTGTTTCGGCGAGATGGCCGTTTAAAAAGGCGTTGTGTACGTCTAACTGCCGTAGTGTCCAGTCTTTGGACACAGCAAGGGAAAAGAGTAGTCGGACCGTGGTCGGCTTGACTACCGGGCTGAAGGTGTCAAAGAAATCTTCCCCAGCGACTTGATTGAAGCCTTTCGCCACAAGCCGCGCTTTGTAGCGCTCAACTGACCCATCAGCAGTGCGCTTGGTGCGATAGACCCATTTGCACCCGATCACATTCATGCCTGGCTGTGGTGGTACAAGACTCCAAGTGATGTTGTGTAGCAACGCATTGAACTCTTGGTCCATGGCGTCACGCCACTGTGAGTGGCCCACAGCTTGCGAGTAACATGTCGGGTCAGTATTAACCGTTAAGGCCTAGAACTGCTCATTTGTGCCCTGAGTCATGTGACATAGGCGCATGACATGGCCACGCTCTTGAGGTATAGTCTTGCGAGGACCACGTTTTCTGGCCCTTGTAGTCTGCGTGGGGCCCTCAATGGCCAGTGGTGCAGGTTCTTGAAGTTGCGGAGTAGGCAGGGCCGGATGTGTCACAACTGACCCGGATGCCCAAGGGATGGACTGATCAGTCTGCTGCGTTGTGCCCTGCATTGTTGAGTCTGAAAAGGGAAAAACAAACTCGTCAAACCGGACATGGCGACAGATATAAATTTTTCCACTTGTTAGGTCCAAACATCTATAACCCCTATATGACGGAGGGTAACCTAGGAAGACACACGGGGTTGAGCGATACTCTATCTTGTGCCTGTTGTAAGGGCGCAGATATGGGTAACACTTACACCCGAAGACACGAAGGAAATTGTAAGGTGGTGGTGTTTTATATAGACGGCAATATGGACTTTCAAACTGTAATGCTGACGAGGGTAGGTAATTTATGAGGGTTGTGGTAGTTTCGAAGGCATAATCCCAATATTCAAGGGGTACTGAGCCTTCGGCAAGGAGAGCGAGCCCGGTTTCAACTATGTGTCTGTTCAGGCGCTCAACCCTCCCGTTTTGTTCATGGGTGTAGGCACAGGATTGCATGTGGTTAATTCCCAACGTTTGAAATATTTTATGCAGTTTTTGATATTCACCCCCTAAGTCGGACTGGATAGATTTGATAGAACGCTCAAATTGGCGTTCTACCGCGACCCGAAACAATTCAAAAGCTTTATAAATATCTGATTTTACCCATAAGGGATAAAACCAGCAGAAACGAGTACAGTCATCAACGAACAAAAGAAAATATCGAAAACCACAACTAGAAAGGACCGGGGCCAGGCCCCAGACGTCCGTATACAACAAGTCCAATACATTATCACTAGATTTTAACACCCTATCTAACGGAAAACGAGAGGCTTTCCCGAGATGACAAGCGGTGCATGAACTCATGGACTTGGAATTATTCCGATCGACCGAACAAAATTGCAACACTTTATGAAGTACTTGATTGTGAGGATGGCCCAATCTGCGATGCCACATCACGGGAGTGGTACGGGAAGTAATGAAAGCAAGAGACTGCGGTAGTGGGAGCTTATACAAACCGCCGGAAATAGGCCCTTTAAGCAGAATTGCCCGAGTTATCGAATCCTTCACAACGAAACAATTTTTATGAAATTCAAAGAATACATTATTTTCGTTAGTAAATCTTTGAACGGATAACAACGGGACATACAAATTTGGCACATGTAAGACATTTGACATTTGTAACAGTTTAGACTTAGAAGGAATAGACGAGGACCCAACATGTGAAATATTTAAACCCGTACCATTACCGACTCGGAGCACGTCCCCACCATTGTAGTCCACGGATTGTGACATCATGGAGGCGTCCGGCGTCGCATGAGCCGAAGCCCCCATATCCGGGAACCAACCGCCGGTTGACGCCACCTCATCACCGGAGACCGCAACATTCGCCGAGTGGGCATTCGTGGGAGGCTGCGTGGTGTATCTTTTGTAACAATAAACTGCTGAGTATCCATTTACCCGACAGATCTGACATCGAAGCTGCCCGCCACCACGTCCTCCACGGCCTCGTCCACCCCGGTTGCCACAACCATGGCCCTGATTAGTGGAACCGTGTTGACCACCAGACGAGCCATCAGAGGGCTGGTGTCTGCCGCGGCCTGCATACAACGCTGCCGGAGGTCCGCCACCTGCAGTGCCACCGACGATCGCCGTCGGGAGTTCATCGGAGTAGATGAACTCCTGAGCCTGTAAAAAATCAGCAAGTTGTGGGAGGGAGACCAGATTACCATTCATGGTGAGGGAGGCCGCCATGGACCTAAATTCCGGCCTTAGGCCTCTGAAGACCCATAGGTTCTGTTCATCGAGTGAAAGAGGACGGTCGGCCAGCGCTAGAGCTTCGACGAGGAGCTGTGCTTGGCCGATGTAGTCCGCCGGTGAGGAGTTCCCCTGTCGTAGCGACTGGAACTACCCAAGGAGATTAAGGCAGCGAGCGTGCGTACTGGACCCCAAGGCGGCAGTAATGGAATCCCAGACCTCCTTTGCCGTGTTCCGGCCGACCGCCAGATGCAACACCTCGTCGGACATGGAGGAGACGAGGAGCGACACAATAGACTGGTCTTGCTTCACCCATAATCTGTACGCCGGATTCGGGACTTGCTCGGTGGTTGCCACGCCGGATGCAGATTCGCCGGAAGGGGAGGAGGCCATGGTGGCCGACGGACATTCAATCTCGCCATCGACGTACCCGAGTAACTCTTGACCCTTTAGGAACGAGACGAGTTGTGTACGCCAAAAAAGGTAATTTCGGGAGGTTAATTTAATCGACACAAAGTGATGTGCCGAGTGGAGGGGATTGGAAGTGGTAGCGGATGGTGGGGCAGTGGTGGTGATTGTTCGTTCAGAAGAGTTAGTCGATATTTTTTTTGGGTGGTGGAGAAAAAACAGGAGGATCTAACCCAAACCTGAACTGATATCAGATGAGAAAGGAAATTCAAAATTCAATTACTGAAGATAGAAGTTACAATACTAAAAGGAATCCTATTACAATAGAAATAATATAAGAATATGTAACATTATTAACTTAGACCACCTCGTTATTGATGGGGGCTTATCTATGTTTTTGGTCAAGTTTAAAATTCTTGGTCATAACCTCCAAATTTTAGGTTATCAGACTTATTTTGGCTTAAATAAAACTGTTAATATTTTTAAATTAACATTATAATTAAACTTTCAATTTTAATAAACTAACATACTTACACTAATAAATATAAACTTATACATCATTCAATCAATCTAAACTTTCATTATTCCCAAACTTCAACTAAAAATAATTAATATATTTAGACTATAATATGGTAATGGGAAAATTTTCACCCC